TACACTCGTGGCCCAGGCCATGACCTTTCCACTCCCGTTTTTCTTTCGCTTCGGAGCAGATATTGGAAGCAGTCCCCGTCCCTCCATCTTCCCCACCCCCTCCAGTGCCCCCCAAAGCCCTCTTCCCCGTCTTGCCCTCCTCATCTTTACAGTTCCTCCAGGTCGGTTCCCTCATCCTTATCCTCCCCCCTGCCTCGTGCTCTTCCCCCTCCCTTGCTGCGCCGCCGCCTTGTCGGACTCATTGCATCGACGCGTTCACGAGCTGAATCGTGCTGGGCGCGAGCTGCGCCTGCAGGGGTGTAGTTTTGGCAGCGCCTCGAGGTTGAGCGCAGGGCAGTGGGTGCGTAGCACATCTGGGTAATCCCTCTGATCGCATAGCTTCCGAACATGTCCTCCTCTTCAGCCCGTGCTGCAGATGACCACAGGGCCCGGCCAGGGTTCGTGACTCGCTGGACTCCGTCGCGCGCACGTCATGGAATCATTATTGTGACACCCTTGCGGCCGGCGCCGCCGACCCCGAGCGCGCGGGACCTCCCCTGGGACCCCGGGAACCCGGAGCTGGGGCGGGCGCCGGCCGCCCCCCCCCCCACAGGGGGGACCCCCTCCTTTTCCCTTGTCCTCCCCCCCCCCGTATACCACCCCTGGAAGCCCCCTGGTATACCCCTTTTTCTTCGAAGCCCGCCGCGCATAGGAAGTGGTTAGCGGACTTGCTAAAAGGCTAAAAGGATCCTATAGCTCTGAATGTGTTGTAAGTGCGTTATAAGTAAGTTGTTAGTAACTTGCAAGCGGGCTAGGAGTACTGCAATCTGATGCACACTCGGGCAGTGGGGGCGCGCAGAGCCGAATTTTTGCACGGGGGGGGCCCTTATCAGAGCATTTGAAGAGGAATACAAGAGCGGCTTCGGCTATGCGCCGCGGCAGAAGCCGTTGGGCGGGCGCGTTTGCAGCTCAGGCCGCCCGCGCCTTCTTCGCAGGGCGCGGTTGCAGCCGCTGCCAGGGATCCACCTGCAGGAAGTCGCCCTTCGCCGGCGCCGTTGCGTTGAGCATCTGGGGCGCCGCCACGTGAACTGTTGTGGCGCCCTTGCCGAAGGACTCGGTTTCAGTCCTGATCTCCATGTTGCTGCCATCGCTGTCCCTGGCCACCACCGCTCTTCGAAGCACTCGTCCCCTCCTGTCCGAACCGACGAACTGCGATCTGTAAAAGAACACGTGCTCGCCCGCGGTGACGAAGCTGAAATACTGCCACCCCCTTTTCGAGTCCACGCGGCGCGCTCGAACGTATCTTGGGGCGTTTGCCCGACATTCACACGTACTGTACCTGCGTGTATGTCCACGCGCACGCGCATGACAACGCCGCGCTGCAGCGTGACGTCGGGGGCCCCCAAGGCTGCGGAAGCAAGTGGATGATGATGACCAGCCCGGGCACCTCGAACGCACGCGTGCAGCGCGCGGCGGGGGGTCTTGCACGAGGTCCAGATGCACCAAGGTCCCCTGGTACCACCCAGTTCCTGCATGCCATGTGCACTGCGCCCACGGACGCCTTCATCGCTCAAGCCTCGGTCTATAAGTGACCCCTCTCAAACTGAATCCGCTCCTGGACCTTAGGCTGTATCTTATCATCGTTGAGCAACGTTACTACCTTAATTCGCCCGCTCGCTTATACTTTGCGGCTCGCTGCAGCGCGTCCCAACTCGTCCTCACCCCCAATCCTCCGCTACTGAAGCTGATATTATGTTTATTCGCATTCAGCTGATCATCACCGTCATCATAATTAGAGGACCGCCACCATCATCACCACAAAACGCTATAACCCGAACCATGGCACGCGCTTCCCCTGCTCACTGGGCGGCGCGAGGCGCAGCCCCGTCATGATGAACTGCTCGCCAGCCAGGTCGCCGCGCGGCTTCTGCTGGGCCATGGCGCCCTCCTCGGAGATGGCGGCCACTTTGCATGCGTCGTCCGACCCTTTGCGAAGAGCAGTCTGCGGGCAATACTTATATCCACATCCAGTGCGTCTTGGAGTTTGGGGCCCTCTTCCCCAGATGCCGGAGGCGCACTGAATATGGATAAAAGAATTTGGCTACCAAAAGGCTCGATGTTTATCCACATGCAGTGCACCTTGTCATTGCGGCACCCCTTCCCAAAAAATCCAAACGCTCTGGATATGGAAATAAGTATTGCCCGCACAATGTGCCCGTCGACTTCGAAGCCCGCCATCTTCCTCCTGATGACGTTTGTCTTCACCTCGGCGGCAGTCCTCGTCGCGATTGAGCCCTTCTGCATCGGCGCTCGCCGCGTCCGCTCGCATTCCGTCGCCCTCCTGGCCAGCGCCCCAGGCGAAATTGACTCGTAAAGGACGATCCATGGAGAGGAAGTATGTTGCCAAATAACTTGTTTTTAACATTTAAAACATATTTCAACATTGCTAGAACATGTCTCAAACATTGTTAGGGTGTCCATTGTCATGGCGTCCACAAAAGTTAACCCCGACGCTCCTCGTCTGTTCCTGGGCTGATCCCCCCCGAGGTCTTCGAGGAAAACCTTTCGGGAATCGTAGCACGCTGGGGGGGGGCCACTGCTGCTGCAGCGTGCCTCCGCCGGCGGTGACGATGGCGACGATCGAGGGCCCGATGGAACTGCCACGTTTGGAATGCCTCGCAATGCCCAGACGGTCTGCCCTGCGACTTCCACCGTCGTGCACGTCTTCAGTGACTGATTTATCTTGCGCAGGAGCTCCCCGCCAGTGTAGGGCCAACTCTACAAACTTACAAAGGTCCGCGATCCGCGATGAGCACAGCGGGCTTCAGGCGATCGCAAACATGGATTAAGGGGGCGTGGATTAGCGGCGGGTCCCGTTTCCATGGGAAATCGCGGATTTCCGCCGCCGAGCGAGGCGGCACCGGCCGCATTTTGGGGAGGCGCGCCAAATCTATGGATCGCTAATCCATGCTTGCGCGCCCCCGAGGGTTGGCTTGCGCCGCCTGCGCCGCGATGCTTTTTCCCGGAGAGGCCCTGGGCCAGGAGCACCCGCGCACCCGCTGCGGCAAGCGCCGAACGAACGCATTGCAACACCGGCAATGCATACACCTACAGCTACATTTAAGTCGGGCCTGTCCCTCTACTGGAGGAATATTCGAAAATAGTTAAAAAAATAGTCAGGGGACGATTTTTTGTTTATTTTGTAGACTATAGTGGGGCATGTTTTGATTATTTTTCATTTTTCGTCCAAAATCCCCCTGTAGGAGGACATGCCCGACCTGATGCTACAAATTACCTTCCCGACCCCCGCGACCTCATCCTTTGCTTCGCCGCCCCGCATCACGATCGACATCGCCAGGGTGATCGGCTGCAGCCGATCCGTGTGATCTCGGTCTCGTGCACGGCCCCGCGCGCGTCGGCGTTCAGGGCCCTCTGCGAGAAGCGTTTCAAGCCCGTCACGTTGGCGCTGTCCTTTGTGTCGAGCCATGTGGGGCCTCTGCGATAAGCTTCAGCCAACTCTGGCTGGGTCGCCGGCGGGCGGTCCTTGTCGACGTAGCCGCGCTCTTCCGCGAGCGCCTTGGCAGACGTGGGTGCTTTAGAGATCGCGCGCCTCAAGTACACGTTGTTTTGCGAGCCCCGTAATGAGACGAAGTGGGTCTCGCTGCGCGGAGGGCGACGCCTTCCGCTCAGCTGCGATCGCTGCTCGTTCGCGGCGACGACCTCGTCGCATTCGGCCCTGTATCGGGAGGTTTCGAACGCCGTGGCGTTCAGCGTCTCGAGACAGACCTGTGGGCGACGATTTTAGCCCCGAGGTTGCGAGCCCTGGGGGGATCGACCAATCCACCGCCGCGGTTCTCAAGGGCGCAGCCCACCTGCGGCGGGGGCACCTGCAGCATGTGCGCTAGAGTTTTTTCGGCAAGAACTTTCTCTTGTGTTCCCATCCCGACGCGAGTCGGCCGCTCTGGTCAGAGGAGGGCATTGTCTGCATCAGCGCACCCTCCTGGCTCTGCAAGATGCGGGCAACGCTCGCTGCAGCGCGCGTGTCCTGTGCAGTCTCCATTTCATGCAGCGCCTAGACTGAAGCTCGCGCGGCCTCGGGCTGCAACTTCGCGCGGGGGCGAGGGGCACGTGCAGACGGTCGCTGACCCCGGAGCAACAATCACGGGAAATACCGCGCAAACGCGCCCCGCGCTGCAGCGCACGGCGCAGTCGCGCTGGGTGAGCACTCAGCCTTGGGCACGCAGCGCTACGACAGCAGAACATGCATGTTCAATGTTTGCGCACTGCAGTGCGCAAGCAAGGCCTGAAACACAACCCTACCACACTCAACGCAGGAGTTAGCACTGAAACCCCGCTGCAGCGGAATGAGAGTTGGTTGCTAAACAAGCTCTCATGCAGTAAGAACTGGCACGCGGCACAATTTGAAAACCTCATGCGAAACTTATGTGAGCCTCTCGACGCTACATACGCTATGACATAAAACACAACTCAGACGTCTTAGTTTCGTTTTCGTGACCAATATTCAAGACACTGGCGTCGAATCCAAGTATGCGAAGCCGTTTTCTGTGGTTATCACAACCAGTACGAAGCTACTTATTCCAGGGCTTGTGGGCTTGATATCAAAGGGTAAGCGGACTTGCTAACCACTTAATAATCACTTACTAAGTAGGTTGTAAATGACTTAGATACGTCACATACAGTCAACGTTCACATCACTTAGTAAGTCCGCTAACCATGTCTTAACTAGTTCGCCAAGTCCGAGGGCCCCAATTTGCCATCCATTTCTAGGAGGGGCATGGGGGAACATTGAAAGCAAGCAAATGTGGAACCCGTGCCCCCCCCAACTCTTCGGGTCAGGTTGGGGTGGACTGGTAGGCAATCAAAAACGACACAGGCGTAAACTTTCGGAGCTCCGCGCAGATTTCTTGGATCTGCGCCGGGGCCCCCTTGCGGCGAGTCCGGCGCCGCCCTTGGCGCGCTCCGCGCGCTAAGGAGGCGCGCTCGGGGCAGATCCAAGAATT